GATCCAAGGGTTAGTTCATCTGTCCAATCTTCCTGATGCTTCAGTGGAGACGAGAACGGCATCTGTGCACTCCTAGGAGAGCTCTGTGACCACTGCCCAATCTAGACACGTAACAGAAGTGAAAATGTGTGTGTGTGTGTGTGTGTGTGTGTGTGTGTCTGGGGTATTCATTTACACAGACAAGCTCCTGCCTCCACAAACAGCTATTGCCCCCACGACTCAGGAGACACCCAAGGCCCTCCCTCTGATGACATTGCAGGTTAGAGTGAGTGTCGTGAGCGTGTCCAAGAGTCCTGCCAATGTCCTCCACAAACACCACTCTGCCCACCACCCAAGTGAAGGTTTTCCCACAGGGACAATTCCATCTTAGATTTTGTGTGTGTCCTCCACCACAGACATCCCAGTGTTTCTGATTCTCTCCGTTGGCATGGAATTTGCATGACTCCGCCCATTGCCTCCCCCTTAACCCTTTCCTATTCTTTTCTATGGCACACAGCAAACAGAGGAATTGATCAGCAACGGAACAAGGGTTGGGTTGGAGAGAATTCGCTGTGATTTATAGGAGTTGTAGGTACTGGGATGTATTGTTTACTAGCAATCTAAGAGCACTCTGAACTCCACCACACAGAACTCCCATGACCAACAAAAAATACTCAAGGTCTTTGGAGGGATTTATAGGAGTTGTAGTTCACCTACATCCAGAGCGCACTATGAACCCAAACAATGGCATGCATAACCAATGTGCCCAAATTTGAATACTGGTGGGTTTGGAGTGGAATTGGCCTGGACATTTTGGAGTTGTAGGTGCTGGGATTTATAGTTCACCTACAAACAATGAGCACTCTGAACTCCACCGATGTTGGAGCACCTTGATTTGGGGGAGTTGTAGTTCACTTAAATCTAGAGAGTACTGTGAACCCAAACACCAATGGACCTGGACCAAACTTGGCACACAGACCTGATATGCCGAAATTTGATTACTGGAGATTTTCCTGCAGCCAGCGAGCACACGGAACCCCACCGATGATACACCTGGACACCCGGAGCAAACTTGCCCAGCATAGCAAACTTTAAGTACTGATGGAGTTTATCGGGGTTGACCTGGCATGATGTGAGTTGTTGTTCACCCACAACTTTATGCATTTTGTACAATTAAAATTGACTTTTTCAAATAACCTGAGCAATGCCGGGTACCCAAGCTAGTTTGTAATAAAGACAAACCAACCAGGTATTCACTTTGCAGAGACTCCTCTCCCCCCGCCCCCAAGATCAGGAGCTAAAGTAGATCACAATGAACACCGAACTTGAATGGTTCATTCCGTTCCTTGTCATGGCTGAGCTCCCTCTATCAGCTCCAGCTCCTCATGCAAAGGAGACATGAGAGAAGCCTCCCACAAGGATGATAAAACATCAAATCATCCGGACAATGTCCCCTGGGCAACGTCCTTGCAGACGGCCAATTCTCTCACACCAGAAGCGACTTGTGGTTTCTCAAGTTGCTCCTGACACAAGAAAAAAACAAAAAACAAAACAACCATGGAATTTTCTGGCAAAGAACTGAAAAATAATAACAAGCTCCCAATGCGGAGAGCCAGCGCGAGATCATGGTTTCAGCCCTGGGCTCCTGAGACCGGTGGACTGGGATCTCTGCTTAGTCACTGGAAGCCTCTGGGTGCGCTTGGGCATGTCACGCTCAGAGGAAACCCCTCCGGACACGTCCCCCCCTCCCCAAAGTGGGAAATGTAGCGCAGGTGCCAAGAGTTGCGCGGCACGGCCACAGACCTGCTGCCCGCGTGGGCTTAATTGGGCCGAGGCGAGCAGAGGTGATGCTGAGCACTCAGCGGAGGCTTTAAGCAAAAAGGCAGATTAATTACATTATGGACAAGTAGCACTGGGAACACTGAGCCGAAATCCACGCAAAGCCGTTAATACCCTTAAGGGGGGAACATGTGCCAGTTCACACACCCTCTCTCCCATTCCTCCCACAAGCCAACGCTGGGAGAGGGCTGACATCACAGACACTTGTGGCATCCGAGCCACTTCCTCCCATTCTTAAGTTCTGTCAACAATGGAAACAAGGGAGGAGCATAAAACCTGAAGCAGCCAGGACCTACAGTAAAATCTATTCTAGACTTCCCTTTTGGCTAAGGGTTTCAGCCTGTGTCCCAGCAGCATTTCTCAACCTGGGGGTCGGGACCCTTGGGGGGGGGCAAGGGGGTGGAGTCAGCAAAGACCATCAGGAAACACAGTGTTTTCTCACCTCTGAGGATGCTTGCCATAGATGCAGGCAAAACGTCAGGAGAAATGCCTCTAGAACATGGCCATATAGCCCGAAAAAAACCACAAGAACTGACAGTGTTTTCTGTTGGTCATGGGGTTCTGCGTGGGAAGTTTGGCCCAATTCTCCCCTTGATAGGGTTCACAATGCTCATTGATTGTAGGTGAACTATAAATCTCAGCAACTGCAACTCCCAAATGTCAAGGTCTATTTTCCCCAAACTCCTCCAGTGTTCACATTTGGACATATTCATGCCAAGTTTGGTCCAGATCCATCATTGTTTGAGTCCACAGTGCTCTCTGGATATAGGTGAACTACAACTCCAAAACTCAAGGTCAGTGCCCACCAAACCCTTCCAATATTTTCTCTTGGTCATCGGAGTTCTGTGTGCCAAGATTGGTTCAATTCCATAGTTGGTAGAGTTCAGGATGCTCTTTGATTGTAGGGGAACTATAAATATCAGCAACTACAACTCCCAAATGTCAACGTCTATTTTCCCCAAACTCCTCCAGTGTTCACATTTGGACATATTGTGAATTCATGCCAAGGTTGGTCCAGATCTATCATCCAGATCCATCATTGTTTGAGTCCACAGTACTCTCTGGATGTAGGTGAACTACAATTCCAAAACTCAAGGTCAATGCCCACCAAACACTTTCTGTTGGTGATGAGCCAAGTTTGATTCAATTCCATTGTTGGTGGAATTCAGAATGCTCTTTGATTGTGGGTGAACTATAAATGACAGCAACTACAACTCCCAAATGATAAAATCAATCCCCCACCAAACCCACAACTATTTGAATTTGGGCGTACTGATTATTTTAGTAAACAGAGACAAAGTCTTAGACTAAGATTATTGGTTCGTTTACAGCAAAAGAGAGTGAGAAGGTCAAGAGAAATGCTTTCCTTTCAGTTTTGGGATCTGATAAAGCCTTATAATGATTGCCTTAGTCAGGTCAACGTTGGAATTTCATCACGGTCTTGGTTTCAAGTGCTCTTAGTTTCATGAATCAAGTTCTTGCCAAGTTCTATGTTTGTATACGATTTTTTCCCTGCTGTCTAGTTTCATGGATTCAAGTGCCTATTTTCATGGGGCTTTTCTGCACCTATGGATCTTGTTTTCCCTTGAAGCTTTGAGACCATTTTACTTGCGTTGGACCTTTGCCGCTTTTGCTATTTTTACTGCTTTGCCTACATATATTTTTCAATAAACTGCTTGCCGATTTTACCAAGCTGGCGTGGTGTTTCAAGCCAGAGGTGTTCCTGCTTTGGAGTACGACAGTATGGACTGGCTTGACCTTCTTGCGGTCCAAGGCACTCTCCGAATTTTCCTCGTTACCCGACCTTGTTTAAACAAGAAGTCTAAGGAAGTCGTGTTCTTGCTTGATGAGCCACGGGACAACTCACGTGTTGTTTTCTGAACCTATCCAAGTTAATATTGTTGATTTCCAGGTAAATGATGTGATGGGGAATACCGACATGACAGGCAAGGGATGCTGGGAAACTAAGTGGCCACGCCCGTGTGACGTGACGTGCAAGATAGGACCAGGCAAGAGAAATGTAAAAGTGCCCTTTAATAGAAATATAGAGATACACCTGAGCAGGTGGCTTCGGACATTCACCAGCTGACTTCTCTCTGCAGAACAGCAACAACAGAGCGGCTTCGTGAAGGAAGGGCCGGCCCTGGCGGGAAGCCACCCCTGGACATCTCTGGTGGGTCTTTTCCAGCTGGATGGTCAAGACTTCCCTCCCTCCCTCCCTCCCTCCCTCCCTCCCGCTATCGGGCTGGTGCAGAAGTGTGTGCAGAAGGAACATGGAAGCAGGTGCGGGGACAGAGAATGCCAAGTGAGATGAGAGATAAGGGGAGGACCTTTTTGCTCATCATTTTCTGTGCAGGTCCCTTCTCCTGTGGAACCCAGTGGATACAAGCCTGAGAGCTTGGGGCGGGGGGGGGGGGGGGGGGGGGGGGTGTTCTCTTTTTTTTGGATGACAATTTGCCTGGTGGATTCTGACAGTTGTAATCCCCCCAAAAGAAACATCTCTAACCTCCCAAATGCAGGATGCCTGCAGAGAGCACAGGGCAGAAAAAGCACACATAAAGGGAACCCCTTTGGGTCTCAATCGAGAGATGAAACCTGGATAGAGCCGCCCTGAGTCCCTCTGCAGAGGTTGAGATAGGGCGAGATACAAGTGCCCCAAACAAACAAACAAACAAACAAACAAATAACCTACCAGTGCCGCTATCTGGCTCTTTGAGACTGTAAGGCACCCTCCAAATGGGAGAACATGTTGGAGCATGCAAGGAATCTGCTAACATGTGTGTGTCAACTGCAAAATAAGATGCACAAAGCTGATTGGTCGGGCAATGCCCGGGGAGATGGCTGAGCCTGGGACTTTTGATTGCTGTTACATTGTTCAGGTGCAGAGAAAGACAGGTTTGAAGAGAGAAGCAGAGAGGGACAGAGTTTGGAGTGTACTCTTGCTTCATGAACTGCAGACATTTTGCCCACATCTATGGCAGGAATCCCCTCTGACGATGCTTGCCATAGATGTGGGTGAAACATCAGGAGAGAACGCTTCTCAAGCATGGCCATACAGCCCAGAAAAATCATAGCAACTCAACCAAATTATTTTGGTACTTGAGGCAGAAAACTCGGTAAAAAAAAATACCACCACCCCCCCCAGACTGAATACGTATTTAGTTATTTTTAGAGCAGACATATTGAAGCTACTGGGATTTATGTCAATCTGGATCCAATTTAGAGTAAACTCATAGTGTAGGATGTGCTGCTTTTTCATGACACCGAAAAATCTTCTACCTGGAGTGGTTTGTAGAGAAGAAAGGACGGAGGAGGTTGGGGAGAGGGAGCGCCCGCGAGAAAGACCAAGTGCGTACGGAGAGGCGCATCACCTTTCACACCACGCGGCTTCTCCGAGCAGGGCAGGTGCAACACAGGTAAGCCCCGGCCTCTTCCACACAGTGGGCCACCCGTCCCTGCCATCAGGAGATGCATCAGTCATGGTTCGGTTCTCTGGAAACGGGGGTGCCGGGCCAGCACTCTGCCCCACAGCGAGTGGGAGTGGGAGTGGGAGGGAGGTCTCCTCCCGGCTTGGCTTCCGGGTTAGGCGCACGACACGAGAGCCGCCACGGCCACGAGAGTCAGGGCGGCCAGAGGGCTGGAGGGGGGCCGCGGGGCCGCTCCCCGCAAGGTCTCCTTGTTGGTCTCCCCCACATCCGAGGCCCGCCCGTTGCCCGCCAGCTGGGCCCGGGAGCTGCAGAGGTCGTGCAGGTTGCCCTGGAACTGGGTCTTCCGGGAGTCTTTCCGAAGGGACTCCCAGATGTTGGCCGCTTCCTCAGGGCAGCTGGACAACACTTGGGTCGCGCAGGTGTGGAAGTCGTCCCAGGATCTGAAGGAAAGAGAACCGAGAGTCAGGGGCCGAACTCTGTACGCGCCCACGTGCCCCGTCCAGGCTCCGATTACGCTCGAAGCCGGAACGGCCTCGTTTCTCTCTGATGCTGCGCGCGTCATTTCTGGTCTTGCAAATAACACGCTACAAGAATGAGCGAATGAAAACGGTACCCACTAATTAAAAGAACAATGAAAGCCAAGAAGGTGTAGTAAGATACTAATTAGATGCATGATGCAACTTCGCCCTTTGCACTTTTGACCAATTATGCTAGACATTCCCAGATTTACTTGACTTTAAGTGACGTCGAGCATGCTCCCCCCCCCCCAACAAGGGATGGTGACTTATAGTTCTGCAAAGGACAAAGGTACCAGACTGCACAATAGGGGTTAAGTCTTGGTCAATTTGCCAAGGCCTTAACAACAATGAGGACCCCATGAAACTTCGGGAATAGCTAGACCTTGGGGTCTCTGCCTGTCTCGGGAGCTGTAGTTCTCCAAGGACGGGGAGCAAGGCTTGTTTCCAGAGACACCAGGTCCATTTGGGCCACTCAAGAACTCCTGCCAGGACCTTTGTGCAACACCCTTGCGTTTTAGCCATCCCCTATGGACACTCTTTCCCCCCACATGGACAAACCTGATGAAATCTTGCCTTTTATGAACTTTAGATGTATGAAATGTGTTTTCTGATTTCTTTGTGTGGCAGAAGTCTTTCCCCTTTTCTTCTGACCTTTGTTTCCCCTATATACATGAAGAAACTCCACCAAAGGGACTACAAAGCCCCAAACATTCCAGGATTGTTTTTATCCACAACTTCCTTTTGCATGAACAATAGCCTGGGCAGCTGGTGGCCCTCGGAGGAATTGCCCAGCCCTCAGCTTGCCCCTTTGGCAAAAATCTTAATCATATATCTTCCTGAAGAACAAAAGGTCCTCGAAAAAACCTTTTGCCTTCACTCTGATTATTCATTCCATTCAAAGCACAATAGATCAGGCTGGCTTGAGATTTCCCCTTTGTCTCACCAGCCACATGGCATGGCATTTCCTTTGTTTACTCCTTTCCCAGATTTCTTTGTGCTCCCTCATCCCGCCTCCATCTCTCCTGATTGGCTGTTGCCACCAGGTGGCAGAGGTCTCCCCATTGGTTCCTACGGACCACTGGAGCCCATTGCCCAATCATGGCAGGGAACAACAAGGAAGCTGGGGCGGGGAGTTTGAACTCTGCAACTTTGAATTTGCTATAAATATGACTGTACTGGTGTATTCCCCTGATGCTTAGCTTTGGCGAATTATTGCAGCTTTGCATCCGTTTCAGCTGAATCGCATTAAACCTCGATGGCTTTTCTTCAACTGGTGAGACTTTTCATTGGGAAATCAGGGAAAAATATGGGATGCTTCTCTGTCTCGCCAGGGAAAAAGAACTCTTTGATGAGTCTAATTGGTCTCTGCCTCCTGGCAAAGACCCCTAAATTTTAGCTCTAGATCATAAGGCTCTCCATTTTTTGCTACACGACTTTGCCACAATTGTGGTGCACCTTAAGGGAAAGGTAAAGGTTTCCTCTGACATGAAGTCTAGTCGTGCCTGACCGGAGGTGGTGGTGGGGGGGGGGGTGCTCATTTCCATTTCTAAGCCAAAGAGCCAGCATTGTCCTTGGACACCTCCAAACTCATGTGGCCAGCACAACTGCATGGAGTGCCATTACCTTCCTGCGGAAGCGGTACATATTGATCTACTCCCATTTGCATGTTTTTGCACTGCTAGGTTAGCAGAAGCTGGGGCCAACAGCGGGAGCTCACCCCACTACCCGGATTCAAACTGCCAACAGTGATGGTGCATTAGATTCCCAAAAATAGTGATTTTACTGCTGAGCCGAAGCAAATGGGGAAACAAGTTCCTTTTGGTCAGCAAGTTCAGCAGCTCAGCGGTTTTACCTGCTGTGCCATCGGGGGCAATTATGCTTGATATTACCATATTTACTTGTATCTAATGCTCACCTTTTTTGCTAAATGACTTTGCCACAATTATGATGCGCATTCGATTCGCAAAATACAGTGATGTTATTGCTGAGCCGAAGCAAATAGAGAGGGCGCTTCAGGGTCCCTGGGACTCCTCTTGGAAGGACCCCACCTCTAATTTAATGGCCTCAGCCGAACACCATCTCATCCCGGGATTCATCGTTTGGTGAGGCATCAGCATCCGTTGGCAGAGAAGGCTCAGGCCTTGTAACTCTACAGACTCCGTGACTCCATAGCAGCGCACCAAGGACATTAAAGCGCATCCGTCCCACAGCAGAGATGCCCACCAAGGTTCCCGTTTCCGAGGCTGCGAGGAGTTGTGGGAGTTGGAGTCCAAAACACCTGGAGGGAGGGCCCAAGTTGGCCCATGCCTGGGCTAGGGTGACATCTCAAAATGGAACATCCCCAAGTTTTGTGGTCTTTTGAGGTCTTGTCATCCAAACATCCCTTATAGTTTTGGAAACTCTAACTCAATGATTCTGCTCTTGGAAAAAAGTAACTTTTCCATGAGCTCAACTCTTAATTACAGATAATCTAAGACAGGGCCCCCTGGTGGCGCAGCGGGTTAAACCGCTCAGCTGCTGCACTTGCGGATTGAAAGATCCGTGGTTTGAATCGGGGGAGCTCCTGCTGTTAGCCCCAGCTTCTGCCAAACTAGCAGTTCAAAAATATGCAAATGTGAGTAGATCAATATGTACCGCTACCGCAAGAAGGTAACGGCACTCCATGTAGTCATGCTGGCCACATGAGTTTGGAGGTGTCCAAGGACAACGCTGGCTCTTTGGCTTCAAAATGGAAATGGGCACTGCCACCCCCGAGTCAGGCCCGACTAGACTCCATGTCAGGGGAAACCAATAGGTATGGCTTCAGCAGGAAGGTAACGGTATTCTATGCAGTCAGGCTGGCCACATGACCTTGGAAGTGTCTAAGGACAATGCCGGCTCTTTGGCTTAGAAATGGAGACGAGCAGCAGAGTCCCAGAGCCAGACACGACTGGACTTAACACTAAGGGAAAACCTTTATCTTTACCTTTGCTAGGATGAGGCCCACGTGCTGGATGCCGCCCTCCGTGGTCATTTACGTGCCCCCGGCCCTCAACTTTAGATGTAGGGTTGCCTTAACTCTGAAAGGACTTGGAAGCACACAACAACAACAGCAACAACAACAACAACAACAATCCTGGTTAACTGGACTCTCTCATCAGGCAAAAGCAGGCCCACACTCCCCATTGAAAGCGTTCCTCTTGTACCTTGTTCATGCCTAGCATTATTTTTTACACCTTAATTACATTTGGCCCAGCCATGGATTTTAATTGTGCTCTGTATTTTGTTTAATGTTTGTGCTTTTTGTGTTATGAGATTTATTTTAATTGCTTTGTATTGTATTGCTATTGTGTTTTGCTTGTATTGTTGTATTGTGGGCTCGGCCTCGTGTAAGCCGCACCGAGTCCCTTGGGGAGATGGTAAGGTAAAGGTAAAGGTAAAGGTAGTCCCCTGGCATGAAGCCCAGTCGTGTCTGACTCTGGGACTCTCGTGCTCGTCTCCATTTCTAAGCCGAAGAGCCAGCGTTGTCCGTAGACACCTCCAAGGTCATGTGGCCACTGGCATGACTGCATGGAGCGCCGTTACCTTCCCGCCAGAGCGGTACCTATTGATCTACTCACATTTGCATGTTTTCGAACTGCTAGGTTGGCAGAAGCTAGGGCTGACAGCGGAAGCTCACGCCGCTCCCCGGAATCGAACCTGCGACCTTTCGATCAACAAGCTCAGCAGCTCAGCGCTTTAACCCACTGCGCCACCGGAGGCTCTTGGGGAGATGGTAGCGGGGTATAAATAAAGTGTTGTTGTTGTTGTTGTTGTTGTTGTTGCTCTTTGTTTTAAATACTGTATTGTATTGCACTACAAATGAGACACGTGCGGTGTGGATAGGAATTTGTCCATGGTTCTATCAGACGATCGATGGTAGCCTGTGTGAGAGGCCGGAGGAGAAAGCCCTGGCCGGGGAGAAAGGGCCGCCGCGCACTCACTTGCAGATGGTGTCCAGCTCCTGCTGCTCCTGGTCGCTGCCCGGTCCCTGCGGCGGTTGCGGCTGCTGGACGCTCTGCGCCATGCTGTCCCCGAGCCGGATCAGGCATTCGGCAAACCCCTTGTAGATGGTGTTGCACTTCTGGCCGGCCGGCGTCACGGGCTCCTCGGAGAACACTGCAAGCGGACGCAAAGCACATCACGGGGCTTGGTCTCGTCCCCAGGACCAGAAGGGAGAGGTGGGCTGGCCCCAGGGAGCCCCCAAACCCAAGGCATCGTTCCGTCAGGAGGGAGCTGTGGTTCGTGGCCCCTTCTCCCTCTGCCTCATCTACCTCACGGGGCGATTCATAGGCCATCTCTTCAGGCAGGATATAGAGGTCTATGTCTATATCTACGTGGCGAATATAAGCTGAGGCACCTCATTTGGCCACAAAAAACTGGGACTCGAGTATAAGCTGAGGACGTTACCCAGATATTTTACCATCCTGTGGGAGGCTTCTCTCATGTTCCCACATGGGAAGCTGGAGCTAACAGATGGGAGCTCACCCTGCTCCCCGGATTCAAACCACCGACCTTTCAGTCAGCAGTCCTGCCGGCACAATAACCCATTACGCTACTGGGGGCTCTTTTTACTAAGTGACAGAACGGGGGAAAGCATGAACATGAACTACATGCAAGTAATTCTGTGTAAATTAGCATAACTAGCCCAACAAAAATGTCCTTGCACGACTTGGCTCCACCAACATGCTATCATTTGTGACCCATTGCCTTTCAGGCTTTTCCTATTTCTCACTCAAGCGACACCCATACAGGCCATTCCTCCAGCATCCTGCACCAACCTGGACCCCTTCGTTATTCGTTATGGGAGTTCTGCAAGCTCAAAATACCTTACGTTAAGGTTCTCTCAAGGCTTTCCACCCGGACACTGATCAAAAAGAGAGAGCGCATCATCTACCCCAATTCTATTGTTGGTGGGGTTCAAGGGGCTCTTTGATTGTAGGTGAACTATAAATCCCAGCAACTACAATTCCCAAATGTCAAGCTCTATTTTCCCCAAAACCCACCAGTACTCACATTTGGACATATTGAGTATTCGTGCCAAGTTTGGTCCAGATCCATCATTGTTTGAGCCCACAGTGCTCTCTGGATGTAGAACTACAACTCCAAAACTCAAGGTCAATGCCCACCAAACCCTTCCAGTATTTTCTGTTGATCGTGGGAGTTTTTTGTGCCAAGTTTGGTTCAATTCCATCAATGGAGGAGCTGAGAATGCTCTTTGACTGTAGGTTATCTACAAATCCCAGCAACTACAACTCCCAAATGACAAAACCAATCTCCTCCAAACCCACCAGTATTCAAATTTGGTCATATGGGGTATCTGTGCCAAATTTGGTCCAGTGACTGAAAATACATCCTGTATATCAGATATTGACATTAGGATTCACAAGAGGAGCAAAATGACAGTTATGAAGTAACAACAAAAATAATGTTATGGTTGAGGGTCAGCACCACAGGAGGAACTGGATCCAGGGGTCGCGGCATTACGACCTCGGTTGTGGAGTTTATCAAAAGTGAAGGTTTAAGACATCCTGTGATTATTCCGCATGTTTCAAAAGTCACCATGAATTGCCCCTTGTGTCTACTCTTTCTGCCTGCTCCACGGAGAGGTCCAAATTCTGCCTCCCCAGAGAGAGGGTTTAACGCTTGGAGGGATGGTGCCGACCTCTTCTGAGTATAAAAAGGCTGCATATGCCACCTCTTGAGGCAGGATATATAGGTGTATGTCCGCTGTCAGCCCTAGCTTCTACCAACCTAGCAGTTCGAAAACATGCAAATGTGAGTAGATCAATAGGTACTGCTCCGGCGGGAAGGTAACGGCGCTCCATGCAGTCATGCCAGTGGCCACATGACCTTGGAGGTGTCTACGGACAACGCTGGCTCTTCGGCTTAGAAATGGAGATGAGCACCACACCCCAGAGTCAGACATGACTGGACTTAATGTCAGGGGACTACCTTTACCTATATATATATATATATATATATATATATATATATATACTCAAGTATAAGCTGACCCAATTATAAACTAAGGCACCTAATTTTACCACAAAAAACTGGGAAAATGAACTGGCTCGAGTATAAGCTGAGAACGTTACCCAGATATTTTACCATCCTGTGGGGGGCTTCTCTCATGTCCTTGCATGGGAAGCTGGAGCTGACAGATCCAGGGAGCTCACCCTGCTCAGTCAGCAGTCCTGCTGGCACAAGGGTTTAGAGTTTATCAGCAGGTGTAGGTTTAAGACATCCGGTGATTATTCCGCATGTTTCGAAAGTCACCATGAATTGCCCCTTGTGTCTACTCTTTCTGCCTGCTCCACGGAGAGGTCCAAATTCTGCCTCCCCAGAGAGAGGGTTTAACGCTTGGAGGGAGGGTGCCGAGGGTGCATATGCCACCTCTTAAGGCAGGACATATAGGTGTATGTGTGTGTGTATATATATATGTACCATATATACTCAAGTATAAGCTGACCCAATTATAAGCTGAGGCACCTAATTTTACTACAAAAAAACTGGGAAAATGAACTGGCTCGAGTATAAGCTGAGAACGTTACCCAGATATTTTACCATCCTGTGGGGGGCTTCTCTCATGTCCTTGCATGGGAAGCTGGAGCTGACAGATCCAGGGAGCTCACCCTGCTCAGTCAGCAGTCCTGCTGGCACAAGGGTTTAGAGCAGTGGTTCCCAACCTTCCTAGTGCCGCAACCCCTTGATACAGTTCCTCATGTTGTGGTGACCCCCAACCATAACATTATTTTCATTGTTACTTCATAAATGTAATTTTGCTACTGTTATGAATCGTAATGTAAATATCCGATATGCAGGATGTATTTTCATTCACTGGACCAAATTTGGCACAAATACCCAATATGCCCAAATTTGATTACTAGTGGGGTGGGGAGGGACTGGTTTTATCATTTGAGAGTTGTACTTGCTGAGATTTATAGTTCATCTACAATCAAAGAACATTCTGATCTCCACCAATGATGGAACTGAAGTAATCTTGGCACACAGGACTCCCATGACCAACATGGTGGGCATGGATCTTGATTTTGGGAGTTGTAGTTCACCTACATCTGTGGACTCAAACAATGATGGATCATGAGCAAATTTGGCACAAATACTCAATATGCCCAAATGTGAACACTAGTGGAGTTTGGGGGAAATAGACCTTGGCATTTGGGAGTTGTAGTTGCTGGGATTTATAGTTCACCTACAATCAAAGAACATTCTGAACCCCGCCAACAATGGAATTGGACCTAACTTTTTACATGTAACCCAGATGACCAAGAGAAAATACTGTGTTTTCTGATGGTCTTTGGCGACCCCTCGGACACCCTCTCGCGACCCCCCCCAGGGGTCCTGACCCCCAGGTTGAGAAACACTGGTTTAGAGTTTATCAATAGGTGTAGGTTTAAGACATCCTGTGATTATTCCGCATGTTTCAAAAGTCACAATGAATTGCCCCTTGTGTCTACTCTTTCTGCCTGCTCCACGGAGAGGTCCCAATTCTGCCTCCCCAGAGAGAGGTTGTACCACTTGGAGGGAGGGTGCCGACCTCTTCTCCTTTCTGGACCAAACTGCAGAAGGAGAAGCTAAGTCAGGTGGACGCGTTTGTGAAAGGCACAGTCCTGAGAAACCGGCTCCGCAGGGACGTTTCCGAGCCTGACTCAACGCTGGTAGGAACTCTGTTGCAGCCTGGTGGGCACTGCAATAGGGATGCGTTGGAGCCAGGAGTCCTTGAGTGTGACTTTCGCTTAATTCTAATCTCGTGGTGAGCCTGTGGGCTTGCGCTGGCATATGGCTTGACACCCGCGGGTGCCACGGGCTCCTCATCCTCGATTGGCAAATTGCCAATCTGGCTGGCCAGGATGTGACCCCGCAGAGGTCGTTCTGGAAGGCTATTTGGGCCTCGGTCCCACTCTGTTCCTTCGAAGTCTCCTCGGGAAAAAGACGGCCACAAACTGTTCCGATTATAAATGGTCAGAAACGGTGGAAAGAAGAACTCTGATGAGGCAAATTACATTGAATGGAATTAATAGATTGAAATGGGTTGCGGTTGTTGTTGTCGTCATCACCATCACCATCGTTTATGAGACTGAGAAAATTTTGGGTGAACCTGGGGGAGAGCCTGGAGGCAGTCAGGTAAATGTGGCCATACATAAGGAGACAATACCTCAGAATATATGTTTGAGGCCAGTGCTTCTCCACCTTCCTTAAGGCAGTTCCTCGTGTGGTGGTGACCCCCAACCAGAACATTGCTTTCATTGCTGCTTCATAACTGTCATTTTGCTCCTGTTATGAATCCTCATGTCAATATCAGAGATGGAAGGGGTGAGATAAGAAAAAACGGAATGCAAAGAGACAGAACGGGGGACGAGGAGGCCTGGCTCGAGAGCAGGACGTGGGCAAAAGATGATCTGGGAGTCCTCCTCGTGGGGAGGAAGAAGGGGAACACGAGCCAGGAATGGGATGTGGTGGCAAAAGAAGGCAATGGGATTTGGGCCTCAGGCATCAAGAGGAGCCTAGTGTCTAGGTCCAGGGAAGAAGTCCTGCTCCCCAGGCTCGATTCTGCCTTGGTCAGACCACTTTACCTGGTGTTACACTGTGTCCCATTCTGGGCACCACAAATGAAGGGAAATGTTGACTCTAAGCTGGCATGTGTCCAGAGGAAGAGGGAGACTCAAAGGATCCAGGGTCTGGAGAACAAGCCCTATGAGGAGCGGCTTAAAGAGCTGGGCATGTTTAACCTGAAGAAGAGAAGGCTGAGAGGAGACATGAGGAGGGCCATGTATAAATATGTGAGAGGAAGCCACAGGGAGGAGGGAGCAGATCAAGGGTCTGGAGAACAAGCCCTATGAGGAGCGGCTTAAGGAGCTGGGCATGTTTAGCCTGAAGAAGAGAAGGCTGAGAGGAGGCATAATGAGGGCCATGTATAAATATGTGAGAGGAAGCCACAGGGAGGAGGGAGCAGATCAAGGGTCTGGAGAACAAGCCCTATGAGGAGCGGCTTAAGGAGCTGGGCATGTTTAGCCTGAAGAAGAGAAGGCTGAGAGGAGATATGATGAGGGCCATGTATAAATATGTGAGAGGAAGCCACAGGGAGGAGGAGGGAGCAG